TTAGTTGGCCTGGATGATCACAGTAAGGGGCCCGTTCTTGCTATCGTCCACTTGTCTGCGCACCACGTTGACAGTTAACTCTCATTTTTACTTCATCGGTTGCCATCGATTGATTCCTTCACCTGCCATTTTTGGAGCAATCTGCCACACAAAGTGGGCCGCGCATTTGAATCATCTTAACCCACCTAAAGGGTGAAGAGATCAGAGAGTTCTGGTTGACGCTTGATGACGGGGCTGATGAAGGCCTCCTAATGGTGGATTCTGGGTAGTGAATCTGTCTGTACTGCATAAATAGGGCTGGCTGGCAGACGTGTGTGAGTTTAGAAAACCTCTATCGGGTTACCAGTTTATTCCGAAGTCTTTCTAACCTGCGCTGCGACCATGCCTGTAACTAATCAGCCGGATTTGCGTGAATGGGAGGACGGCCTTTTTGATTGCACAAACGACGTCAAGAATTGTAAGTATTTCATGCAAATATTAACAGTTCACTGGATTCTGTTCATTTGGGCCCCGCATATTTTGTTCAGCATTTCTCAGCATGTATTTGTACAGTTAACTGCAAAAGAACAGTTGAGATTTTTTAACTGTTTTAACCGACATATTCAACAAATTCTCCCAAATATTTCTCACCAAGAATGCGTGGAATTACATCTAACCTGAGCGTCGACTTTGGCAGTTTATGAAGTTCGCTAGGTTCGCAACTTCGCTACGTATTGTTGTAATCCTCATACGGTACCAATTACTAGAATAAACACTGAATCCAACCCATAAAGTCTAAATGAATTATGGCGGATTCGGCATAGGATAATGAACCGGAGTGAATGAACTGACGCCTAGATTTGGAAGTCGTTGTGATTTCATCGACGAAATAGTTAGACTCTATTCGAACTATGAAGTTCATCGTAAAGCACTTTGGTTGGAAATTGGCCAGAGTCCGCACATATCAAAATGCTGGGTTTGGATCAGGCATAGGGTTTGTGGCGAGTTAGGTTGTGGGTTTGGGGTTAGTCGTAGGTCTACAATAAAGTCAAGGACTGAGTTTGCTTTTGAGCTTACGATTGGGATTACCTATTAGGTTTGAGGTATTGCTGCACCGTGCGTCCTGTAAGCTAGGACTGTCGTGGGATTCTAGACTTTCTTCATTTTCGCGGGAGGTTTGTCATACATTTGGTGTCCGATCTCATTAAATGATGGCTGAAATCCTGACATACGTTTTCGATTAGGAAGGATTATTTGGTCGGGGTTGTAAAACTGACTACCTTGCGGCATAATCTTATAACATTTCGGACTCTGCAGGATGTCAGCTTTTGAATACACTACTTCTTAAACTCCTGTATAAACCGTGCTCGGTAAAAATGACTACTTAAGGTGCATGCATTATGGCCATTGATTTTCGATGGTCTTGCAAATTCAAATATATCTGATGGAAACAATAAACAAAGATATGCGTTCTTTTAGCCGTTAAGTAGACAATTACGTCTTCTTTATATATTATACTCAAGAAAGAAGTATAAGTTGGGTTAAAAAAGTTTCTTTTTATAAGATTTCTTAAGTCCTCACAATGTCCATCCCCATAGCATCGTACCTCGTCGTTTACCAAAGCTCCTCATGGAATGTACAACGTAGTCTGAATCCATTGAAAACTTTTTGCATTCTGTACAATATCGCTTTAATGGCACAGAATAATATATGATTTGCTTTACGCAGAACGCATGCACCTTGTACAATGGAATCACTAAGCGCTAATGCAGCGAATGATAAGTCTCCATATTATTCGGTAATTGGAAAACGTTTTTAAAACCTAATTATAATCCTTCCTGGAGAATAATATATAAAAAAGACGTAATTCTCTACCTAACGACTAAACGAACACATATCTTTGTTTATTGTTTCCATCAGATATATTTGAATTTGCAAGACCATCAAAAATCAATGGCCATAATGCATGCACCTTAAGTAGTCATTTTTACCGAGCACGGTTTATACAGGAGTTTGAGAAGTAGTGTATTCAAAAGCTGACATCCTGCAGAGTCCGAAATGTTATAAGATTATGCCGCAAGATAGTCAGTTTTACAACCCCGACCAAATAATCCTTCCTAATCGAAAACGTATGTCAGGATTTCAGCCATCATTTTATGAGATCGGTCTCTCACCGTATATCAGATTGCCTTTTCAGCATCGAATATGTTCCCCACTAACGATTTCTGCATTTCACCTCCGTCTTACTTTAATTTTCATGTCCAAATTGCTCCTACACTTGGGAACAGGGCAGTGTGACTGCTTTAAGCAGCAACTTTAACGAATTCTCCCAAGTAACTTGCGCCAGAAATCCAAGAAAATGCATCTCGCCTGGGCGTTAAGTGTAAATGTGCATGTTTCCGACGTCACTATGGTGCTTACAATTCTCCTACGGTACCAGCTGCTTTGAATAAATACCAACTCCAGGCCATAAAAATCGAACTGAAATATGAATAATTTAACATAAGACAAAGAAATAAGGATCGAATCTACGAAGATGATCCCCTTTAATCTAAAAGTCCTTTTATTTAATCGTTCAAATACTCTACTTGTGGTGAAGACTTGAGGCTCCCTGAAACATCTCCAGCTATGTTTAGTCAGAAACTGATCAATGTCTGCGAATTGTATCTTCTTCTACTTCTATCCGTTTTAGGCATGCTGACTGCCTTCTGCTGTCCCTGCATGGTCTGCTATGAATATAAGCTGCAAGATGAGGGTTGTGCAGCTCCACTGTGTGTAATTCACCCAGTCCTCGTGCTGGCTTCGCATTATCGCGGCAAACAAAATATCGAGGTATGCTTACTCCCTGTTTCTTTGGCCAATTCTTTGTCGCAGCAATCAGATATCATTTAAATTGGTTTTCAGCAATGGCTCAGCATAATTTATATTTCTCTGGCATAGGAAAGAATTCTATGATTCAAACTAACTCTCGAGTTGTGGGATTTTAACCTCGAAATAGGCCAAATCCTGGACGAATTTATCAGTTTTTTTATTAATTTACATGCGTCGATTTTTTATTGGCTGTCCTACACTTCTGCCCAGGTTTATTTATACAATTGCACAGCCATCTGTTTAGCTCCATTTATCCGATATTTTTGGTGATTATTTTTTTGAAATAATCTCGGTTTTGTTTCCTTTGCATTATACGCAGTTGACATTTCCATGATTTAGGTAAGCCATCGTTAATGCGATTTTAGTATTAAAATTGACCATCTCTTGCATGACTTTACTAGTTACGTTAAGAATAAATGCGTCCACGATGCAGAGCGATAGTTAACTGGATGGCTTATTGCCTTAATCAATTCCTGCACGTCAGTCCTGCACATCGACACTGGAACGACCCACAATCAAATATGCTGCCACGCAAGCTAAAAAGAAAATAAGTAAAATGTGACATTATGTGGATATTTCGGCGGACAATGTTAAGCAAAATGGGGATCAGAAAGAGAGTAATAACAGAAAATGTGACGGCTCTTGTATATAAGAGTCCAAAGTTGATTGAACCTCTGTCCACAGTCAATGGTAATAAGCAAATACCCGACTATGCGACAAACAGATTCCGTCAGCACTGACTGTCCGACTGCTCTAATCAGCTGCCTGTTTAAGTGCATAAAATTTATGTCGGCAAATGCTTTCTTAAAATAACCGAAAAGCGATTTTCATGATCTGTTACGTCCCTGTGATGGCATCCCTTTCAAGATATCAGCCAGGTTATACCTGGATTCCCACTTCGCGTCAATTTCTATTACCATAAGAGAGTGAATTACGGGCACCGTGGACCAAGTATCAGTCCGTGGATCAAGACGCTATAAAACACTGACGCTATCAATGGCAGCCGGGTTTCATGCTCAAACCTTTATGCATCTAAATTATGTCTTGACGAAAAGGAATAAAATTGGCGGTAGGCATTTTATAGGGTTAGTGATCTCCCTGCTTATTCCAAGGGCACGGCTTATGCATATTCCTTGCTCGATTGTGTGGGTTTCCTGTGGAAAGTGTGTTTTCTACTAAACTAAATACCCTCAGTAGAGTCTTGAAAACTGTCAGTATACTCGTGACAACGAAAGTCAGGATATTGCTCTATCCTACGAAGATGTATGTGAATATCTACGAAATTCGACATAAAGTATCTAGTCGCAGATGAACGTCCACGTCACTGGTTTCTCTGGCGTTCATTTGAACATGTTCCGTTACTGATGACAAGAGGTGATTGACAGCAGCCTACCTGTTGCTGGCCGGTAGTCCGCACTGTGATGATCGGCGTCCTATTTAAACGCCTCTCTGCACCACCGGGCTCATTAGCCTTCTCTGCGAGCGCTTCCAGTCTGCGCGCTGACAGTCTAAACCAATTGCAAAGAAGACACTTGCTATTACAAATCTCTTTGAGCCAATCACATTCTCCTTCTCTCTCGGACATGATGTAGCTCAGCCAATACACGTCCTGGCTTGCTAATTGAAATTCGGCCTGGTGATTGCGGCAATCGAAACATACCCACAACCCAAGCCGCCACCTTCTGAAAGTCATGTGAAGTATTTGCCTACTCTCGGAGAAAATCCTGTTAAAGTGCAGGGAGTAATTTTCGTCGACAGAGCACGCCACAGCTCTCTCCTCACGCTGGGCCTCAGTGCAGCCGTGTCCCAAAATAGCCTTTCCGACTCTTTTCCGTGGCCTTTAGCGTGAGCCAAGCTGACGACCCCGTTCACTTAAAGCCTGTTACCATTGACGGCGCCGTTTGGTACTCATGTCTGTTCCGTTCATTTATCTGATATTTTCGGTGATTTGTTTTTGTTTCTGTGAAATAATCACTGGCTTTGTTTTCTTTGCCCGACACCTACAGGGAAGTCTCATAAAGGACTGCTGTGTCAGCACATTCTGCATGCCCTGCAAGCTCTGTCAAATACACCGAGATTTTGAGGCCAACTAGTGCGGACGGACAAAGACGACTGGCATCGCCTCTTCCTCTATCTTTGCAGTTCATATATGTGGTATATCAGATGTCCAGTTCGTGTCAGTACACATGTTTGCATTAAAATTTCGACATTATGCTCAGGAATTTTGGCCTTGTTTTTTGTCTCCTCCAAAAACGCACTCGTGACAATGGGTTTTTTTCGGTTTCTCAAACAATAATCAACCTGAGAAGGAAACTTTATCTAGTTTCCGATAGAGCCATTGGGTCCCACATAATTGCTAACGCAGCAATTTCCATTGTCCAAGAACTCGAACTTTAGATTAAAGTGCCGGGGTCGGAGAAGTTTGATGCACATATAGTTGAAGTTGCTTGACTGCATGTCTTGAGACTTGGGCTAGAGTGAAGTAGACGATCGACAAAATAAACTACAAACAAATGACCACTTGCATATAGGGGAGGGCGGTGAAAATACAATTTTTGTGAAGGCTGGAGACAATGAGTCTGACTAGAGCTTGCTGCGAAGTCTCAGTTGAATCGCCAGTTGGCAAAAGTCTAAGTCACGATTTTGTAGTGAATAGCATCCATTGAGATCCTACCCCGCTCTTTATACCCCTTTCCCGCATCAGTCAGCTATCCGAGGCTTTTTAGCATAAAACACCACACAGATTTAAAAATCTCGTACTTTAAAATCCATAAAACGTAAGCTTATCCACAATAGCCACCTCGTTATCATCCTGTTACGAAAAATTTGCATGGGTCAAAAAACTATCTTCGAGTGGAAGAAAGTTAGATACGCATTATTCGCCTGACAAAAGCAAATCTCCATCAATTTCTGATGATAGGATGGGACAGGAATTAGAAAAGTCAGGCAAATAAAACGCTCGCTCCAGCAATCCTGTCTCCATTTTCGCGACTAGTTCCTGGGATTCATCTCATCAGATTAGATTAGGCCCGTATCCTTAAATTTACCGATTATATAGCGTCTAATCTTCAGGAATAGTGGATAGAAGACAAACAATTTCTGAATTTCCTTAGTATAGCCTTGGGTTTGCAAGTTAGTCAGAAGCCGATTTGACGAACGCGCCTCAAACATGCCAACTTTGACGCGCCGAATTGCAGTATAAAATAGCGAAAGAAAAAAAGGAAACTGATAGAAGCGAACAGGCGAGTTCCAGGTAGCAGTTCAGAAGATGAAGATGCGATCACCGGAACAAGAAATTTATTTGCCTGACGTTTCGGATCCTTACTCGAATCCATCATCAGAGACATTAGCAGATAAAGGTGATTGTGGCACCAGGAGTGCAGTATTTATAGCACGTGGCTGCCGTGGGACCGCATGCGCACTGCAATTAACAGTTCTCGTAATCACCGCTGGGGCCGTAATTGATGCGGTGGTGGCTTGTCGGTCCGAGTCCGAGTCGTTAATTTCCGCGATTTCGTCATCCGTGCTGGATGCTGGTGTGACGATTGCTCGTAAACTGGCTCACTGTCACTGTGATAATTGCTCGCCCGCGCCCTCCCCACGTGACTGATTCTCCTGCCCAGGGAAAATCGCAATACGGAATAGGCCACCGGGAGGTCATTGTGTTTGTCGATGGATTGCGAGCTTGAGAACCATGACTCGAGCAGCTCGCGGCTCACGCGGTTGTCACCCCTTGCGAGGATTTCGGCCTCTTGAAATTTGAAAATATGGCCGGGTCCCGTCGAGTGTGCCGCCACTTGAGAGTTAGCGTCTCCCCGCCTCACTGCTGCTGTGTGCTCAGCAATTCGCGTACGGAGTAATCTCCCAGTTTCTCCGACATAATTGCTTTGTCCGCAACTACACCAGATCCGGTAAATGACTCCAGACGTGTCCTGCCGTGGCAGCGGGTCTTTTGGCCTCATGACTTGGCGCCTGATGGTTGCTTCCGGCCTGTGTGCAACCCCAACTCCAAGTGGAGTGAGAAGACGACTGACGGCTTCCGAGACGTTCTTCACGTACGGAAGAGCCCGCCAAAATTTGGGGTGGGTTGGATTTGGTCTCTGGTGTCCTTTTCGTATGCATTGGTTGACAAAGCTGCGCGGGTAACCATTGGCTCTCATTACCCGTCGAAGATATTGTAGTTCCGCAACCTTGTCTTCCATTTCACTGCAGTGCGTTTCAACGCGCCGGTATAGCGCCCTTACGCAACTGCGTTTGTGACTGATCGGGTGGTTGCTATTGAAGTTCAGTATTTGAGTCGTATTTGTCGCTTTCCTGAACACTTTGGTTTTTAGGCCACCACAATCTTTGCGGCAGACGAGGACAAGGTAAGCTGAGGAGGGCTCCTCCACGGCGCCTGCTTTAAAAGCCCTAAAACATGGTATGCCGCCGACAGGCGTTCATGTACAATATGCATTTTTAGATTGGAGGCGGAAGACATTTTGGGTAGTTTGAACATAAAATTCCCACCTGCACCAGACACTTGGACTGTGTGTATATGCAGGCCTCACCTTACGACTGTGAAGAAAAAGCAGATGGATCACCGGACATAATGAAATATTGCCTAAAATATCACAATTCTGTCGGTTTTCTTTCAAAATTTCAGATTAGCAGGAACGATACCGCACATAATCATATAAACCTAGAAGCACAAGTGAAAATTTAAAACTACTAAGGGGAATATTTGAGGTTAAGGGTTTTCAAGTTAGCTAATTTTACGAGCACGCCTCAAACATGCGAAAATGATGCGCTGAATAGCAGTATAGTCTATCCTAACGCTAAAAATGGCTTGCTGAAGAGGTTTTCGCTTTCCGTTCGATAAATACTCCCATGCTTACCCTATCACCTCCTCACTATATATGTTAATATAGTTGTTAAAAAGAAATAAGCCCCCAAAAATAAAAGTCCATCTTTTTAAGTATTGACAGCATGCCGAACGCAGTGTAGAATATGAGACTGTCAGGCGCTCAGTGCAGATTGACGGGTCACAAGTGGAAATTTCTCCGAATCTACATAATACCACGTGAGAGAAAAAATGAGACCAGCAGTGGTGGCTTGAATCAGCCGGGCTTGGATGTTGTGAACTTCGGTTTGTTTCAGTAATTCTGCGGCTAGAATCCCATCATGGCAAATCGCCTCAGGATTCTTTGATGTCTGATGCGTCTGTCTACGTGATGTTGCATAGAAAAGAGTATTTTTGAGGCCTACTGGTAATCTCTTGTGTAAGCACACGGTTTTACTCGTGATTTATGCATTTATTACAAATCAACATAGAAATAACAACCGTCAAATGTTCATTTCACATTTCATCCTATGGTAAGATAACATTGTTCGGCGTATTATCCGTCGATATGCACATTTGAAAAAAGACGAATAATAAGAACAAAAAATTTCCAAAATTTCGTCCATGAACTCTCGGTATTATTCTGATAAAACTTTGTTTTAAACAGGACACTAATGCAACTCCTGTATTGCCTAACATGCGCCAACCAAACATCAACTTTCAAGTGGGTGGCATTTAGATCCGCAAGCAGATCACGTCCAGATTAAGCCGCCGAGATAAACTTCCCACCCGGACACCCTGCGCTTACTCCACGTTCCGAGAATCCTCAACGGTTGATGGCCGGATGGACATCAGATTCGGAGGGCAGCCAACTTGGCGGTCGACAGTGGTCACAGTGGACAACGAAGTGTTTATAGATATTCGATAGGATGCCATCAGTTACAACAGCATTCACCGACGCCGATGGCATATCATAGTTGGACACAAGGATGCTCCATTTCCTCGGCCGGCCTCTCGCAAATATAATTTAACCCTTTAAACAGCCAGCCTATCCGCCCGCAGTCTCTATATTGGCTTTGTCCTCCTGGCAATAGCTCCGATCTTAATTCTGCCAGAAATCCTCTCCTAATTTATCAAAAGGGATCAACACTAGACCAAGAAGAATCTCCAACACACCGCACACCGATGCTCGCATTCACCACGATGCCTGTAGACTAAACAATTTTCCTTCTTTTCCCATATCTTAAGCGTGTCTCAACTGTCCGCTGTGACTCTAAATTCTGTTAACGCGTGACATTCTGTGTTCATCTGTACAGTTTTTGCTATTCCCCTCGCATTTCTTTCATGTTACTTCCTTTCCATTTCCTCTATATATATCCTCTGCATGTAACCAATAGGGATTCCAAAGATACACACCTACTTTTCCTGAAATATACTGATACTGATAAACTGATAAAGTAAGCAAGATTTGTGATTAATGATCACGCTAAACAAACTGCCGCAGAAAACCCATGTTCGACACGACCTATGCGGTGTTCGATGCAAAAGGGTAATCAACAAAGAACTGATTTATTGTATTTTTTTATTATTTTCCTCTTTCTATGCGCTTAGATTTGCAAGGCAAACCCCATTGAGTTAGTCCCATTTTAGCGAACTGTAGCATGGTCAATTTCTATAATTCTTGATACGGCGTAATTTACGTACTTTAGTGTATGTTGATATTAAGTAATAAGAGTTTAGGGAATACTGAGTGGTCGGAGTTTGATTTATTGGGATCTTCTAATGAAACTCTCAATATTTCACGAGTTATCACCATCCCTGTACAACAGTGCTAACAGAATGTATGTGCTTTTAGTTCTTGAGAAGTGCTAAGTGAACGAACACCCGTCAGCGACATGTGCTAAACTTTCGTCTTAAAGAGGTAGCTTATTAGTGGTATTTTATTTCCAGGATAAGAAGCATCTAAATAGTGTATTTTCGATGTGAACTATCAATTTTTCGACAACGATGCTGATGTTCTTGCATCTTCTGAGGATCCCGATCTAGGTGTGTCAGTCCGAGGACTGTTTAGTGCTATTTACTAGCAGTAGCTGTTTGAAAGCAAATCCTTTGTTAGCGGCAAGGGTCTGTTCTTCCAAACTGACCTTGTTTGCAGTACAAGTAAATGAAATAGACTCACCATACTCTAACGAACGCACATCTAAAGTGATTAATGGAAAGCATTCAGAAGTTAGGTTTTGTATAGAATGTGTAAAAAAACCTTCACAATAT